TGCAGACTTTTTGTTATGCCCAAAATGATTTTTTCTCTTCCTGGAAATATATTAATTGGCTCTTGCTAACTTCCACCTGGCCACTGCACAAAAACTTCCAGCCAATCTGCATAAATGGATCAGTGCCTGCCATTTTATTGACTAATGCACTCTTCATATCTCCGAAACTTTTCCTTAAAAAAATCTGCGAAATTGAGGAATGTCAGAACACATGAAGGAATCTGTAATCATAATGCTTCGTTTCCCCCCACATTTTTAAAAAGGAGTTGATTTGTTCTGAGCTTGGACAATCTGGGTAAACTGCTTTGATCTCACAGAAATGTACACTTTTGCAAAAGTTAAAGATTTAAAATCTTTCTGTTTTAACAATGTAGCAGTCCACATATAACCAATAGATAAATTTCTCCATGCTTGAAGGAGTTTTAACAACACTGTGGCTATTTAAGAAAGGCATTGCAAAATAAATCTTAAAAATGACTCATTGATTTCAATAAACCAATTCTCTACAAATAACAAATTTATCTCCTAAAGTACAATACTTTTAGTTCTTCTTAGCACTAGATTTAGACTTATATACCTCTTCATAGTGCTTTACAGCATTCTCCGAGTGGTTTATAACATCAGCATATTACCCCCAACAATCTGGGTCCTCATTTTGCCGCCCTCAGAAGGATGGAAGGCTGACTTAACCTTGAGACCCATCATGATCAAACTCCAGGCTATGAGCAGAGTTAGCCTGCACTACTGTGTTCTAACCACTGTGTCACCACTGTTGTTCTTAATTGGATGGAAACTTTATTTTCAAATAAGATGGAGGCATTCCTTATGATTCTTATTCTTAAAAGATAGGCTACAAATAGAAATAATCTAGGGGTGAAATGCTCCTGGTTCGGACTGATCTGGTAGCAATGGCGGTGGGTGGTTAGCAAAAATCCCTGCCCCCCCATGCCCAGCTGAGCCGCGCAATCATCAGAGGTTTTTTTTATTTATTTTTAAAATTTTTGGCCGAAAAAATGCTTTTAAAAGTTTTTTTAAAAAAAACCTCTGATGATTGCGCGGCTTTTAAAAGCCTCTGACGATCCTGGCTGAGTTGTCTGATCATCAGAGGCTTTTAAAAGCATTTTTTTTACAAACTCTTGAGGTTGTAGAAAATTCTTTTAAAAGAAAAACAAAGCCTCTGACGATCAGGCAACTCAGCTGGGATCGTCAGAGGCTTTTAAAAGCATTTCAGCTGAAGAGGTTGTAAAAAAAATGCTTTTAAAAGTAAAAAAAAAAATAGTTGGCCATGCCCACTCAGTCACATTACCCCCCACCAAGCCATGCCCACAGAACCGGTAGTAACAAATTTTACATTTCACCACTGAAATAATCCTAGGATTCTTCATCAAGCTTTCTTTTATACAACCATGCACCTCAAATCATACATTTCTCTCCAACTACCTGAAAAGTTTGCATTTTAAACAGAAGTTAAATATCCTTTCAACTGTAGACACAATCTCTGAAACAGAAGCAAGGCTACAGCTGAAGAGAATTGTCAACATCACTATCTTTATGCAAAACCTTTAAAAGTATCAGTATTAATGATACTGTATAACAGACTTCTGCAAGCAGCTGATTTGCTCAATCACATTGTGTCATAAGCGGCAAAGTACACTAGGTTTTCCCCAACTTTATCCATAGATCTATAACAACATGATAACCTAAAGCACACCTTGTTACACCAGATGTAACAACTGACATTGTTTTTAGAAGTGGATCTGTCACCCCAATATTGTAGAAGTATTCTGTTATATTACAAATCCCAGTTTATTCCCTCGTGTCTCTTTTAAAGTATAAAATGTCTGTTTTAAAATTTCCGCTCACAGAGGATATAAGATAGGAAAAAGATTGACCTGCGAGTCCTAGCTAAACTGAAGAACCTCATACATTATAAATATGACCTAACAAATTGAAGAATGTTTCTTTCAAATTCTGTAACTGCCTGATGAAATAAACTGAAGAATCTGAATATTCGCTTTACCATGAAGTAATTACTAGTGTCAATTCAGGCTTGAGATAAATAATTAGGTACTTCAGATACTATGTACTAATAACTCAAAACATTTATCAAAGGCAGAAGAAACTAAGTCTTCATTTTTCCTCTCTGAAAATACTGCTCAAGAGTAAAATTTAATTATCTACCCAACACAATCCCCATCCATAACTCTGATTTCACGCCAATATTTTTATTTTTACAGATAATTTGCAGGAAAAAAGATGTACTGAACTTGATAATACCTGATGCAACTGAGCAATGAACAAGTTTCTAAGAGACCTATAAGTTTCATAGAAATGTAAGATTGTACAAGACTTTCCAGCCTCCTACTGTTTCAACACTTGGTCATTCAACACTTTAATATATTAATATTAGAATCATAAGGCAAGTATTTAAAGTTTACAGAAGTAAAATGCAGATATACAACTTCCAGCAACACAAGGATCACGTCAGGCCTTGCCTGCTATGTCAAAAGCCAACTTCCAGTGGACAGTGCCAAGAGAAAACTTTGAAAGTTTCACTAGATTTGTCAGTGGAAGAGGTAAAAATTCAGGTAACCATTATCAACAGTAGATTTACAGTAGAGGCAATGAATTGTTTTCTCTCTCTGCTAAGAACATCCTTGATCTTTGAGGAAAAAAGCAGAGTAAAAAACAAAAACAATCTAACTGTATTTCATGAACAACTGTCCTCAATATTAAATGCAGTTAATATGATCACACTCCAATAAAATAATTACTAACTTCCCTTCCATATTAAAAATTATAATTTGGCAATCACTTTTGAAGGTTTGCACAGGCATGTGCTCAAGACATTTGGGGACTGCATGTAACTCTAGAATTTCAGATTGTGCATGTCTGATTTACGAGTCATATTCCAATCATACCTCTCTTTGATTCTCTCCTAACAAACTAAGAAGAAATTCAGACCCAAAAAGAAAGCAATAAGCCATGAATTCCAGTTCAGATCTAATACTGAACTAAATTATGAAGACAGTCTGGATTTAGATAGTCACTCTGAAAAGAGAAGCCATGGAGGAGCAATAAAGTAGCACTGATCAGAACACAAAAGCATTGTGGCTTCCTGTTATATTGGAACAAATTCAATGTGTTGTTCTGTATAAAAATATTTCATTATTATTTTTGCAAAATAAGTATAAGGTGCCAAGAATTACTAGCTTGGGAGTTTTTCCTAAATTCTTTCTCAATGATTTCCATATATAGGGGATCTTTTTGATAAAATATTATCTAGAATACGCATCATCATCAAGAAGAAAATGTTCCTGCAATCAGCTCAATTCTAAATTGGTGGTATGGCACAAAATCAGGTGTCTAAGTTACATGATGTTTACAGAACAGTAAAAGTAAACACTCTCAGAGTGTCTGATTTACATTTTACTTAGACAGAATTTACATATTGAAGTTATACTCTGGTGACAGTCTGGTAAAGACAAATTACCACAAATACATTCACTTCAATATCAAGACTTTGAAGACAATTTGCATATGAACAACTGTACTTTTGTATGCTCTACCACAGGAACCATGAAGCAGACTCCAGATTTATGGGTTACAACCACTAATTCCAGACCAGTGACCACACTTTCACTTTTTATTCACTCTTACTTAAAATAGCTCAGAGAGATCACTGAGAAAATGAGCAGAATTTTCTGCATTAAAAAAGCAAGTGTCACTGTAACTCTTCATTTATCAAAAGTAGTAATCCATAATTTTGTGGCTCTGATAGGCATACTGTCTGAAAATTTGGGAACTTGTAGGCACTACACAGGACTTCAAATTTAAAGGCAAAAAGATGCTTGGAACATGCAGGGGCATACCAACAGCCTCTAGCTGTAGTACCTTAAATCATATTTTCCCTGTAGCTGCAGAGGGTAACCTCATGAGTACAGAAAAATACATGGATGCTTTAGTTAGTTACAGGCAGTGCTATGTGGGCAACCCAATATTGAAGTTCCCTTTGCCTTTGAAGCTAAAGTACTGTACAGCCTTATTGGAAATTCAACTCATCAAGTGGGCAGATGTTAAAAATACTATCAATAATATGGAAGAAACAAGCTCCAGATGTCAATAAAAATTATGGTTTGCACCATTTGTGCAATTTAAGCGAGTGACAGGAGGAAACAGAATTGACACACTCAGCTTGTAATATAAAAACAGAAAGAACACAATAATAAAATCATGCTTTTTTAGAGATTGCTAGTATGGAAGCTTCAGAATGGCTGACTCTTCTTGTTTCTATTTGGGCTCTCTCCAATCACTGAGATAAACAAGAAATTGCAATCCATTATTTAAGAAGACATGAGATCAGGAAAAGAGGACCTGAATGTTGTAGGTGGTGTAGTCATCACTCAACCGGGAATGTTTTTGAAGAACACTCTTGGGATTCTGGTAAATGGTATAACTTCATTAACGTAGATGTTTAGTCTTTCACAGAGAATAACATTCTCCAGTTTAATCCATTTCTGATAATTGGTCAACAGTGACATTAAATAAGACACTGAGTGATATAATGCTCTACATCCAATCACCCAAATTTAGTTATTCACAAAACTGTTATTTGCCAGAATTCTACAAAATACTTCTCCGGTCTCTTGCTTTTGAATTTGACTGATGATTGGGCAGTACCACAGACAGAACTAATGAGATCTGGATATCTAAGTCTGATCCCAGTCCTATTTGTATCAAATACTAAGATTTAAAGGTGAATCAACTATCATATATGAAAGATGTGATACACAGAGAGAAAAGATAAAGTTTCACAATCTCAACCTATTTAGTGCCATTTCTGATATTAGCAACTTTTGCATAAAAAACTCAGAATAGATTTTCCCGCTCAAAATGCCTACGCATGCAGTGGAAAGATGCAACCAATCACCCTGCACAAGGAATAGTTAAGTAACAGGTGACTTTGCCTACAGTGTGTTACAGCAGAAGTCAATGCTTACCTTTTCTTTGGTTCTTAGGTACCTCTGTAGAGCCTGGTGGGTTAAATCTCTAACCCGGATTTGTCCATCTTTACAGGGAACTACAATCCCCGTCTTGCCAAAACAAACTGTCACTTTCATCTCATCCAAATAAAAACAAAGGTAGATGAGGATTCTTTTTTTAAAAAATGGCACATTCAGGAAGGGGAGGGGGAATGAAGTTCCAGTTAGTCTCGCAGTAATCGGGACCTTGTTTTGAAATGCAAAACTCAACAAACTCTAAACTCCCGAAGAGAAAGGTAAACTAGTCTCGGCGACAGCAGGTGTTTATGTTTTGACACTGCGGGAAGAGGGGAGGAAACAAGGAAAAAAGAGAAAGGGGGACAGGGAGCCAGAATTCCTCAGAAAGGGCAGGACCGAGGCCTGGCAGGCAAAGATAAGCTTGAAACCACTCAGCCCTCGTCTTGGAGGGAAGGCAAAACGGCAACAAAGGTCACACACTAACACAAGTTTCTCAAGGCAGAGAGAGAGGATGGTTGGGTTTAATCTGCAGAAAGTGCCTCCCGAAGCCAACTCTGTAACTGGGAGGGATTGAGCAACCACTCGGATTCCCGCTTTTGGACGCGCAAACCCCCCCCCCCTTAAACAGGAACCCAGAGATGCGAGAGCTTGGGAAGCGATAGCCCCAGGCGACCCCGGCAAGGAGACATAGAAAAGAAGGTCGCTGGACAGACCCCCGCCCTCCTCCTCAGACTGCTCTCCTCGGGGGCGGGAGGAAGAAGGAAGCTCTCGCAGGCCGAGCCTAGGGCTACAGCAAACCGCAGCCCCCGCCGCGCCCCATGCCCGGCCTGGCGACTCTTTCTTCTTCCCACCCCGCTTTTCCTCTCTCTTCCGGGCCTCTCCGCCGCCACTTCAGTACGGCAACTTCAACTCCCGCCCCTTCTCGCGCGCTCGCCTCCCCGGCTCTCGCTCTCTCGTTCCTCCCGCCTCTCCTCCCGCCCGGCGGCTCAGCCCTGCAGCATCGCTCCAAAGGTCGGCGTTTGGGGGTGTGGGTGGGTCGGTGGGTGTTGCTTTCCTGACTGCTCCCACCCAGCAAGCGAGCCCTGCCTGGAACTTAAAGGGTCCGCCGCGCCGCCTCGCCTCGCCTCACTCGCCCTGCGCTGAATTCCGGAAGAGGGGCGCACCCGCAAACCCAACGCAACAAGTCCCGCTGGGCCTCTCAAAGAGGAGGAGGGAGGGGTGTGCCTTCTGAACCGGTTCGCAGCCTTTAAACCTTTGGGTTGTAAGGAAGGCAGATACGGAAGAACAATGAAGTCCTGGGCTTGTTTGTCTTCACGACAATGAAGGGAACCTTTTGTAACCACTCCAGGTTTACGCACAGAAGTTTTTGCTTTATACTAAACAAGCCCGAAAAATTCTTTTGGGCAACAGTCAAATTCTCTTGCTCCAACGTTTTGGATTGGTTCCTTCGGATTACTTCTTTTGAAAAGAATGCTGCCTACCTCCTCTCCTTTATCCAAAGCGGCTGGAAAACCAGGCGGGGAAATTCTTAAAATGTCTTATTAACTAGTAAAATAATAATAATAATAATAGCAGGAGTCTAGTGTATTTTGGCATATTGAGATTTATTTCCAGTCCTGTAGCTTAGATGCACTTATTTTGTACTTTCAAGTCAGCCTTGCCTCCAGGTGACTGCTTGGACTCCCTGCAGTTTTCTTGGCAACTTTTTTTTGGAAGTGGTTTGTCCTTGCTTCCTTTCTAGGGCTGAGAGAATGACTGGCTGAAGTCACCCAGATGGCTTTGTGCCTAAGGCGGAACCAGAACTCTAACTGCTAAACATAACCTAATTTAAGAATAACCATTGAGTTTGCTCCAAAGCCAAATAAACCATTTATGGCTTATTGAGATATAAAACAAGCACAAAACTCTTAACCTTCCTAGACAGAGTAAAAAGATTTAACTCTTAATAGTTTTATTCCATTTTTAGTTGCCGAGATATGAAAACAGTAAACATAAAAGACAACCTAGGTCTTTTATGCAACCTAAGTCATTAAAAGACATATTAGTTGGAATCATGTACTATTTTGTGATGTACATGTAGTCCTCGACTTACAATTACAATTGAGCCCAGAATTTATGTTGCTAAGTGAGAAATTTGTTAAGTGAGTTTTGTTCCATTTTACGACTTTTCTTGCCACATTTGTTAAGTGAATCACTGCAGTTGTTAAAAGTAGTAACACAGTTGTTAAATGAATCTGGCTTCTCCTTTGACTTCTGTAAATCACATGACCATGGGGATGCTGCAGTGGTTGTAAGTGTGAAAAACGATCATAAGTCACTTTTTTCAGTGCCATTGTAACTTCAAACAGTCACTAAATTAACTGTTGTAACTTGAGGATTATCTGTACTGTGACCAATGAACTAAGATTAGTGAATTTATGTAGTAACCCAAAATTTGAAACACAACATTCCTTCTTCCCTCCTGGGTCTGAAGGTGTAATCTTTCATTCCTAGCACACAACTGAGATGCCCATATTCCAGCTCGAGTTACATAAAAAAGTAATATATTTTGACATCCATTGCCTTAGAAACAAGGTCAAGTGACCTGTTCTGGGTGTGATCAGAAGTGTCTGGTTACAAGTTTGCTTCCACTGTAGCCATTTATTTCCCAGTCTTTAGCTTTCTCCATTAACACTTTGTTTCCTGATTTCATTTTAGATCTGTCTCCCACCCATCCCCTCCAAAACAAAACAAATGACACCAACTTCTCTTCAGATTTCCATAAATCAAGAGGAAGCAGAGCTCTACTAGCTTATGTGTGAACAAAGAAGGGATGCTTCTCACTATTTTGCTTGAACAGTATGGTGAAATACATTAATCCGTTAAGGTGTAACACCATTGCTTTTCCTTGCACTTGCAGAAAATAAGAAAAGTCTTGAATACAATAGGGATTTTGTTGTTTATTCGCCCATTTTCCAACATTTGCAGTTTCAAACACTTTTACTCCCCTTCCCTGAGAAAAGAGGATTGTGTACCAACTATTCATTTTCAATTGGGACTCTACAGGATCCAGTTAGCTGCAAAATCATGATGAGATCTACTTCCCTCTTCTCTAGAGCTATTTCTGCCCTAGGGTTTCCCCATGATGTTTGCTTATTTCCTATTTCCTATGTCATTTCTTGTGGTATCTACCTGATGATACAATCCATCAATAAAATAGATGCATCCTCGACTTACAAACAGCCAAAGTCTGTGTCAGAAATTAGAGAACTTTCTACAGCTGATCTAGGGAAGAGGAAGGAAGGCACATCCCACTGTTCAAGTGAAAGTCTACTTCAAGTTAGATTGACCCCATGGGAAGCCATTGTGTTTGAATTTGGCCATTGTTTTCAACTGGTCTTGCATTATGCAGAAGGACTGGTGGCTGCCTTCAGGATTTAAGAAAGGATTTCCCCCCCCCCCCACCCAGTCCTGCTTTGTTGTCAGAAAATAAACCTAGAACTTTCTGTATGCAAAGCATGTGCTCTGCAGGGAATGACAATTTGCCACTTGGCAGAATGTCATCTCTGATCAATTCTCATCTGTGGTAGGTAAGTGGCCACCTGTACCTATCTAAGCAGCCTCTTCCCTATTTAATTAGTGTATGAGCAGCTATGTGATCTGAATCCACCCTAAGCAGATGAATCACAAATTTTGCAAAGGAGGAGGGTCTTACAAAATTGGAACATCATTCCTCTTCTAATTTGGTAGAACTTATCTAATTTAGAGGTGGTCAGATGGCAGCCTAAGAGCCAGATGTGGCTCCTGTATATATTTTACCTGTCCCATCTTTTAAAAAACCTACCTTAAAAATATATTTCTAGGGTAGATTTTGCATGTAATACATAAGCATTATTATGTGAAAAACTACATCTGAGCATAAGTGTTTCAAAGCTGGAAAGCGTTTACTTCTGGACAGTGCCATTTTTTTTTATGAAGCTAATCACCCTCCACCCTATCTCACCTGAAGGCAAGTGGCCAATGCTACAAAATGTTAATAATCTTCTGCTCTAGAGAATCAGATCAAAATATCCCATCATCTCCATAAGTAACATGCTTTATATGGGAAAAGAAAAATAATAATTCTGATTAAGCTTTTCTGCTATTTACCCTTCTCACGCTGGATGATTCATATGGAAACTGAAAGTTTGGTTCCAAAACAAATTCTAAAGAAACTGCCAAATTTTTCTGTTGGACCAAGTCCTGCTCAAATTTCAAACTAAAGTGCAGAGGATGATTATTAATGCTCAACTATCAAAACCTTTGCTATTCCTTTGACTTAAGATGATCTAGTGGTCTGGTTCACATATAACACTAAAGCATAATATTTTCAGCTTTTGTAATGTAAGAATCCACCCTTTGTGGCTTGGCAGTATGTGTGAAAGCAGTTCTATATTATTTCTCTCTCTCACAGGCTTCAAATTGTTTCACAATAAACTGCAGTTATCTTATTTCTACTGATGCATTCAAGATTATGTTGCAATTGAAATTCCCAGAATTCTGACCCATCTATTGGCAATAGTTTGGGTTTTAACTAGGATTTTCAAGAGTTGTTGCTCCAGCACATCTGGAAGAAATATTGTAGAAGAAAATTTTGTGACGCTGTTTATGGATGATGACAATGGTAATAATATAATTCTAGACACTTCCAAATCTCTGTGGTATTATTTACTATGGGGAAAATTCATTTTCTAAGAATGATGGTTTGAGTGTTGGGAAAAGATATTTGTGAGAAAAGGCAGCATGAGTTTTCCAACAGCCTCAAAATCTTAATCATCACATTCTAAAACTTAAAGATGAAATATACTAGTCGATATAGAACATTCATTTTCAGGCAATCATTTTAGTCCAGTTTTATGTTCTCTGTCTTTTATACTAACCATACACTGTACAAGATATAACTTTTAATATTTTCATTGATTTGTGTGGGAATTTTTGTGGTTTTACAACCATTTTTTATGATTATAAAAGAACAAGATTACAATTTAGTTTCATTATATTTTATATTTCGCATTATTCTGCTGAAAATAGCCAGAAAAATTAGGTGGTTAGAACAAATCTATCCTCAAACAGGTCTGCTGGAAATAAAGAATGGAATAACATATTGACAATTCATGGCCTGATTCACACATCATACCAAACCCAAATGTGGTTGGCTTATAGTTACCGTAAATTGAGCCCTTTGGTTTATAAATCATGGTTGATGGCTATATGCTATGTGAGATCAGTAACAGTATCTTATTCAAAAAACTATTGTGACTTAGAGAGTTTGTTCGCACATTGCCCTATCTACAAAATCTCCTACCGGTAATTCTACCTTTCCCCATAGTTTTTCACCACGGACCCCAGCAAATTATTCCTCATATTTTTATCCCTTGTCCGCTATTTTGGCAGTCCCTTTTTTTCTCTGCTCCATGCCTTTTCAGGGAAGAATAGGTAATAAGGGATCAGATTCTGAAGACTATGATAATCACTATATGATAGTTTCAGATTGCCATGCTATCTTAATACAGTGATGGCAAACCTATGACACATGTATCAAAGATGACACACCATGATGTTTAGTGTGGCATGCATTCACCAATACCCAACAACAACTATACTTGAAAGTACATCCTCTTCTTGCACAGTTTTTGGAGGCTGCAGAGTCCATGGAAGAGCATTCACTGAAGCCAGTACAGGAATGAAGCCCTCATGCAAGCGGGAGCAGCTTCTGGAAGGCGGTAGGGGCCTATTAACAGACAGAGAATGCCACCTGAGGGTAAACAGTGCAGGGCAGATCTTGAAGAGCACTGGGCTGCAGTAGCAATGGGAAATGGCGAGAGGTGTTTTTGAGTGGCAGTGGTGGGACGAGGGCTGCCAATGAGTGCCAGTGTTTAGGGTGAGGTAGGTACAGGAGGTGATAGAGAATTGTTTCTCTTTTTTTGGGGGGGGGAGATGTGGATGTAACATGCCAGCAGAATCAAGTTAGGTGTTTTCCAAATTTTTGACACTCCGAACCCAAAAGATTTGCCATCACTGATGTAGTATGTGAATATAAGGTTAACTGTTCCATGGTTCCCTGAATTAATAAACTCTTAGTTTATGCACCTGTTGAAGGATAAATTAAGCTGCC